AGGGGGGGCTCAGCCCCTCCTGGCCCCCTGCTGGCTACGCCACTGTTCATAACCCTCACTATTTAATACCAATAAACTTCATTTTTGACGAGCTTTCATTTGATATAAAATTCATTATGTCTTTATGTGAAATTATAGCCTTACCCCCTGGAATAATATTTTTTCCAACTGTGTAGAAGCATAATATTCTATAAAAATGTTCATGTTTTCAATCAAAAATGAAATTTCATCCTATCAAACTTTGTTTTCATTTTCTTTAATTATTGATAAATAAGTATGTATCTTGGTCGTTACTATTAGTCTTCGCATGTTTATTTATTAAGATATTCTTGTTTTTACATTTTTGCTTATGTACACGTGTTATATTAGTAAAAATATTCTTAGAAAGGTTAGTCAATCATGTTTCTTCTGTATTCTGTTTTTTTCTTTTTTTATACTTATCGTACGTGAAGGCGTTATACAAATACTTGCCGTGAAGATGTGCACTATCAGTGACATCAAATATAGCATCAGAATGTTTGATTCACTCGTCATTTTTCGATTGCTACTTTCATTATCTCTGCTGATGCAAAGGTCATCGACTTCTGTTTTTGCTATTTAATTGTTTGATGATTCACACTGTCGTTAATTTTTTATATTATTATATTTGACAGTAGGAAATAATATACACTGAGCAAGCACATGTTATACACATAGAAAAATTTCCTCAGAAGAATGAATGCTACCTTTTCATGGTCCAAAAAGTAATATCGATTGGAAATAAATTGAGATATTGTCAATCAAAACAAAGTATAAAATAGAAATGGTTACATTGTTTCTTTCTGTTTTGCGACCTCAACAGTCTAAAGTTTGTAACTTTTTGACATTCAACTAGAACAAATAAGAAAGCCAAAAATCTGAACAAGGTTTAATATAAAATACTGTATCTTACCGCATTACTTAATCTACATTATAGAAAATTTAAAGTCAACTTTGTATGTGCCATTTGAATGCCTCTCAACAATTAGTAAATAGGAGTTGAATTTTTTATTGTCCTTCTCTCCATTTGTATTGAATCTATATCAAAATCGGAAAGTGAGACTATTAAGAATGACTCCAATAGTTATTTATCATCAGTTGCTTTCTACAACTTTTGTTTATCAGACGAGTGATGAACACTCATGCAGAATTATGTTGCCATTTTACATAGGTATTTGCAATTACTCCACTTTAATTGCATAAAATTTTAGTATTTTTTCAACTTCCTATTTTAATTATTGTTTCGGTTACTTAATAAGTTTTACAGTAAGATTCGCATCGATTATAGATAATTATTAGTTCTATCTACCTGTGGAAAAATCACTAATTTATCTTTTAAGACTAAGGAGAAAACCGATTTTTACTAAGGGTGTGGGTGTGGGTGTAGGTGTGTATATCTTCTCTTAATATATAATTACACCCACACCCACCCTTGAGCGCAGCAGCGAAATCTTTATTTTTTAACTGTAACACATATTGACGTCAAGCAATAGGAGAAAGAAAAAATAGAGAAGTCGGACATAACAATGAGACATTCAAACCACATACTTCACATTTTTAGCCATGAGCATAGAAAGTCCATGAAGAAACTCAGCCAGGTTAATTTCTTTTGGTTCACAACGTTCGATCAACGTTTTAAGTTGTGCTCGTGCGATGCAGATTGTATTGCTTGATTTTGTTTTGAAAACCACTACTTATTCTTCCGAGTTGTTGGTGAAATGAAAGATTTTTTCTTTTTAAACACTCCAACAGGGAGTAAAAATGGAGATGCTATTTTATTAATTCGATTGTTGAGTTTCTAAACTGACCCGCATCGTTGGAATAAATGAGCAAGGTTTTCCATGATTCAAAGGAAGTAAAAGTGTATAAAAGAATAGATCACTAGATCAGTAGGTCAGAAAGAGTAGAACGTCTATCTTTTCACGTTTTGTTTTTCGCTCCACGGACTCGCCTGTGCATTAATTGCGTGGTTGCAAGCACTGTTGAAGCTTTCACGTTTGACTAGATATTGTAATCACTGCAAATATGCAAATGCTGTTTAGTGTTACCCTATGTGTATAAGTTTGTCGTGATATTTTAGCGTATAAACAATCAATTCTCTGACGATTTAAGAAATCTCTTTTGTCAGTCAGTCTTTTTCTTGGTTCTATAAGTAAATAAATCCCTGCTGAGAAATGATTGTCAGTATTGATAAGTCATGTCTGTTATAAAAATCAACAAAGAAAAGTTTTCGATTGCTGATATTGTAACGGAAATTGGAGAGACAGAGAGTGGATGATATTGAGGAAGGTAGTTGTTACTAGATCACTTGTTAATTACTCTTGCCTATTTCCATTACTTGTTGTGCTTGATCTTTATTTCAACACTCTGGTTACCTCACACACACAACTTCACATTAACTGATTCTCATTCTTTTCCTCCTTCGAGTTATGAAGAATATCCTCAATATACAAAAACCTGATTGATAAGCATGATATCATTTAACATGGGTGTGCTTATCGACACAGAAATGTCATTAAAAAAGTCAATACCGTACACATTAGTTATTACAGCTTTTAAAATACAGACGTCACTGAAGCTGAAGCAATTTCTTGAAAACAAATTCTTGGTCGATTTTTATACTTTCGTGGTAAAGAACGTAATATTGACATATGCACAATAGTTTTCTTCAAATCATTGAGTTGTCTTTGCTAATTATAAATATCACTAATATTAAAACATTCAGAAAGTTTCAAAGGTTGCATATATGTTCCATGAACAGTTTCTTAAAAATAAAACAACATGTGAATACAAAACTGGATAAGAAGGAAAACATTTCTCTCGGTAAGTTACTTTGAGATACATCTTTGTATTGTAAACTATTCCAAAAAACACTTTGCAAACAAAGATTGCAGGAGAGATCTTGGGCTACTTTTCAAGAAAAAACAGGATTAGTGCAAAATTTTGGTCTCACGCATGACTTTTGATATACCTTCAAATGATAATGTTCGATCACGACAATGCGATAGTTTTAGGAAAGTGTATATGTGACAATGGTTTTTGTATTCGATCGCTTTTTTGGTCAAAATATAATTCAAATATAGAAAACATAATTTTCAGTTGTTGAGTGATGTTCAAATAAATACTGTGTCCGAGATAAATATTGCTTCAAATTTGATGACTTGTTTTGTTTGATAGATAATGTGAAACAAGACTTTTCGAATCAAAGATGAACAGGAACATATTCTCGAGTAATTGAGAATACAACTTTTTTGATTAATATAAGACTTCTGCAGCCCAATCTGAATTATCGGACACGGCTATCAAAACATCAACTAGTACCGAACTTCGAATGAGTCTGTAAGGACTGTTTAAACCAATATCATGCATGTTTTCTAGATGAACTCTCTCTCCATTTTTGTGTAAAACAATAGAGGTTGACAATTATACGTAAATTCGCTTTTTATTTTCACTGAATATTAAACAATATTTTCGAAACAAAGCGTCGCTAGATTTTGTATATATCGTAAACAAGAAAGTTACAATCGAAATCAGAATTATAATTAGGCTTGAATAAAAATCATACAAACAATGAATAAACATCATGTTTCTTCCTATTTAATAACAAATGCCTGTTTACTGGTTCTTGGAATTAGCTTGTGTCGTAACAACATTATCATTTGTTGTTGACTCATTCGCAATTTCGTTGAATGAATCAGAAACTTTAAATATTTCTCGTATTTCCTCTGATGATTTACTTCTTATCATATATATAACTGTTTTACAAACAGTTCTCAACAAACGTTTGATACCCAAATAATTAGCTGCCTAAACATAACAAAAAAAGAATGTTCTTCTCGTATCGAAAAACGAATATACATACTGCGATAATATCAAAGAGTGCACCATCATGAACTGTAAATTGTTGGACGAATTTACGATCCCATTTACTAATGGTATTCAGTCTGAACATTAAAATAAAGCTTATCTAGATATGTATTCATATTATCAATTTTTTTGTATGAATATTTGCCATCGAAAATGCCGACACACAAAACAAAAACTCATTGGTATCAATGAACCAGAGACGAATCATTCCTAACATTTTTCTGCTCGACCAACATTACTTCGCTGATCTTTGAATAAATTCTCAAAAGTGTTCGTAATAAGCGATCTTTCTAATAGAATATCAAAGCATTTCAGTATAGTATAGTGAAAGAAGACAATTATTACTACACGCACTATTCGATCTCATAAACTAATATTTATTTTAGAGTTTTTTATTTACATTAAAGAGCTGTTTATCAGGACAACATCACAAAATTTTTGTTTTCTTTCTATGAAGTTTCAGCTTTTACGAGCCATGTTACGTAGAGAGTAGAGGTGTGTAACACCAGCTTTGGTCCTAGGGCCGAGAGCGAGATCAATGACTACCGAAATTGGAACTACGAGTAAAAAAATATTCAAAACGGAGCTAGCAATTGTGAATAAATTTAAAAAATTTTTAGCAAATTATCATATAAATCATATCAATTAAAGGAAAATTTCGAAGAAATGACCAAAAAATGCGATAAAGCATTTAAGAATTTTTTTTAGATTTAACGTAAAGAAAATCTGAAAAAGCTCTTTATAGGCTAAGACCCAGACTGAGATTGGGATAGCGACGAGATCGAGACTAAAAAGAAACTTAGTCCCACACATCTCTAAAGAGAGTAATAAACAGGAATTCTGACCATCAGGACTATATTTCGTAATTATTTTTATCGATTTTGTGACGTATCTGATAGTATTAATATTGAAATCTGCAGCAACTTATTTCTTAATTGATTCTGGAAGAGGACTCACCGTTGTGACTCATGAGTATCTTTGTTAGTGTCATCATTGTCATCATTGTCATCATCGTCGGTAGATTCTGATTGAGGATCATTTTTATGATGATCACAAAAATTGATGGCCCGCAAAAAACAAACAAAACAATTGACTTACTGAAATAACAACCATAAGAACTGACTCACCGATTTTAGAGTAGAAGCTTGGATATGAGGTAATGAAACTGGTTCATCTGCATTCTCTATTATTGAACAAGAATAAAATGATCAATATAAATACAAAAAGTTCAAGTACTCACTTTCGAAATACATTTTTAACTTGGTCGATTGTTTTGCTATGTCATAATCGATTTCGAACTCTTGCCCATCGCTGGATATCATTTTCATAGTATTATTTGACATTATCAATACGAAGACAAAAATATGTTTATTTCAAACACGTTGCGTAATGTTATATGAAGACAGAAAGAAAAAAAAACAACAAATCTATACAAACGTTTGTAACTATGAAAGAATCGATAAAAAAATGCACTCGCATCTCAAAGCGAAAAAAACCTCATACAATATTAAAATAAATGTGGAAACCTCGGATTTAAATCCGAGAGTTATGTGTACTTCAAAAAGTGAATGAGGCAGATGAGTCATCCTAGAATGTGGAGACATAAAAATTATCCTGGCAAACTTTTTCTATAAACACTTGATTTCTATTGGCTACTGCTCAACCAATAGGATTTGGGGTAAATACAGCTCAGATTTGAACTCTTCGTCTTGATTTACCCTAAGAAAGTCTTTTTTCCTATAACTTGATTGCTATTGGTTACTGCTCAACCAATGGAATTTCGAGGCGAATGGAGCACATATTCGAGTTCTCCACCCCAGAAAACCTCGAACTATCATCTGTATGATCGGAAGATAGAGCTCTAATTGTAGATCAATTAGAGCGTGGACAAGAACAAAACCAAATTCCGTTTAATTATCTTTGCAATAGGTGAGTTAGCTTTCTTGTTTCTTTATGTTTTATATACCATTTTGTAGCTCGTGAAATTCTCTATCGAATGGTATATAATAGTTGGGGTTTTATTTAACTATGATAGGAAAAGTTGTTTACGAAAGCTGGGATCGGTCGATTTTCGCATAGGAAGCCATAGGGAAAAATGACTATTTTTGCAATAACTCACGAATGGCTCGGTCGATCATGCTCATCTTCGAACTCGACCGAGATATTGTTAAGACTAAACTGTGTAGAAAATTTCATCGTGATCGGACTCTCCTTTCAAAAGTTATCGTGTTAACGGCCGGACGGCCGGACACACTGACCGATTCTAGAGTGTACTCACTTTTTGAGTACACAAAAATGAAGATTTTACGTCAGACAGTTAAATTTGAATATCCTTGCTTTGATGAGTAAATCAGAAAAAAAAATTGTCGTTCAGAATAGCTGTACGACTATGTATTTATTTTTACCAAGAGCACGTGTTTTTCATTCATAATCATCTCTGCTCGTTAATGACACTGCAATTTCTTTTTTTGTTCTGTCGATTGCACGATCTTTCTCTAACGAATGCACCGCAATACCTTTTTCATTCGCACTTTTCGTCTACATCGTAAAACAATTTTTGTCAGAACACGTTAGTTGAGATCATGCATACTTATCGTCAAAGTGCTGATTATCATCTAATTGGCATCATTTATTGAAAGAATATTATCATAGTCAAAGCAAAAAGTCTTATTCGATGTAATCACAAGTAACGCTTGTCTGCAGACTCGCTCAGATCTTGTTTCTGGACTCTCAGCAAGTTATAATTAAGAATTAATCAATAATTGAATGATAAAAAACAAGCCGCGGATTCAAATTTGCCACCTTCGATTACCTTTGACCAAGTTTTTGAATCAATTAAGTTTTGATGTTAATACTAATAATGAAATATTTATTTCTGTTAGTAAACTTGAATAACAAGAAAAATGATTCGATGCAAAAGTATAGACGAACTAGTGATTGTAGAGAAACAATTTAGAAATGAATAAAAATACAAAAATGACTTCTTATTTTGTGAATCAAGTTTTTATTTTATAGGAAAAAAACTACGTGATGTCGAATTGTCATAATCATCAGTCAATTAACTTGATTTTTGTCGAAGATGGTTCTATTGGTAAGTTTCGTTCTGTTTTCGTCTCGTAAAGACATGAAGCCAGATGTGAGGCTTTTTTGGACTCAACAAAATCCGCATCAATATCTTTTAACTCATTTCTTCGAAGGGTGTGGATGTGGGTGTGTGGTGTGGGTGTGGATGTGTGGGTGTGGGTGTGGGTGGGTGTGGATATGAACGTGAGAGAAGACATCCACACCCACACCCCACCCCTTTTATTCAGAGAAAACAGTAGACAGAGATTCGCTCGAAATATTGAATATTTTTTTCCTATTTGGTTTGTAGTGAGATCTGTAAAGGATTCAGATAAATCTGTGTTTAAACGAAAGTATCTCAAAATCAAACTATTCTACAATCTGGTGAGGTCGATATCCTTATACCTTTCTCAGACTGGATCAAATTCGGTTCAGTTCAGATTCACTTTTGAAAATTAGTTCGGGCTCGATTCGAATAGCATAAATTTTTAATATTAATACATGTGAATCAGCAGCTTTTTTGCTTTGATATTATCTCACATCACTATCCACGATTATCTATCGTGCTTTAGGAAAGTGACGAAAAGAAAAGAATAGAAGAATTATTCTGTTTAGATCTGACCCATTATCATAACCATAATTAGTGTAACTCTTATGAAAAGAAAAAAAATACTGCTATAGACGAAAATTAAATAAAAGAATCAATAAAAGTTCGTTTTATCTTCGCCGATGGTATCCTATTTTTTCAAATCGATGATGGTTCAAAACTGACACACCTTCAATACATTCTTTTACACTGGGCATTGTATTGCTTTGTCATCGTGACACTATTTTAGCATGCTGTTGAATTTGTTGATAAACTTGATTATAAGTGCTTGTAGATTAGGATAGTTGAAAAATATTATTGGTATCAAAATGGAAGTCAGAAAAATGATTGTTAATCAAGAGCACTGCTTGAAACATCTTATGCTCCGACAATAAAATAGCTGCTGTTGTCAGGATGATGTTTTAAAGCTAAACACCGGAATAATTAGATGCAAATCAGCAATTCGTTTGACTTCCAATATTTAATTATAATCTTTCGCTGTGACTGAAAACCAATTTTCACAGGATCATGCAAGACATGACAAATGTCTTTTTCTTACAAGAAAGGCAATCAATCGGTTCATAATTCTTCTCGACTAATTCAACAGAACAAAGCAATGAACCGATCAGTTCGGTTAAAATCCATATCTCATATAAGAGACAATCATTATTGTCTAAAGGGTGTGGGTGGGTGTGGGGGTGTGGGTGTGGGGTGTGGGTGTGGGTGTGGGTGTGTGTGGGTGTGGGTGCGGGTGTGGGTGTGGGTGTGTGGGGTGTGGGTGTGGGTGTGAGCGTGGATGTGGGTGTGAGCGTGGGTGCGGATATGAACGTGAGAGAAGACACCCACAGCCATATCCACACACCCACACCCACACCTCACACCCACACCCACACCCCACACTCCACACCCCACGCTCATAGTTCTCGATGGCCTCATGGGAGTTCTCTTAAGCAAGGTCGAAACCGATCATAGCAGCTCTAACTCACGTCATTCAACTCACACCCTCAAGATGCACACAGGCATGAATTACAATGACAGTTCATTAAACGGGAACTCAGAAGGTCGTAACTTTATAGAAATTAATTGTGCTCATGATTTTGTGCATAATTAAGTGAAAAAAACGCATATAATGTGATAGTGTAGGCATTAACAGGAGTAGAATTATGATGGTTCATTCGTTTACAATATAAAGAACTATAATGCCAAAGCTTTGTTCAATTATCCCAGCAGTTGCCTCGCTGATCAGGAAGCGAATAGAGCCAGAATCGCGTATCATTGCGCACATTGCCGTATGCGTAGAAGTCCCATCCACCCTGTTGTATTAGGGCTGCGTTGGCCGTCCATTCTACACCAGCATATTTTGTTCCATTCATACCAGGAATCCACTTGCTCCAGTTCAGAGCGCTAACCACTTGCCATCCATCGCCGATCATAGATGCACAAAAGGCATTCATTTGTGCATAATTTTCGAACTGTGAGCCCTTCATGGGTGGTGTTGTAGCGATATGACCTTGGCCCCAGCCGTAGTAGAATTCTGCTTGCATTGCAGCACCATTGCCATAGATAAAGTAAGGAGGTCGAGGAGTATAGTCATACCTGATGCAAATCACTGGCAACGATGTACTGCAATCTCTCAATCCTTGGGGCGAAGTACATCCTGCACAACCGATCTGGTCAATACCGAATTCAGCTAAGTGCGTCACTTTGACAATGGCTATACCTAACTTAGCTATGGCAGAGGAAGAGAAGAAGTGAAAATAGTATTGTAAACGAACATTTTCGTACCTTTCACAAATGTCACACAGACAAGAACTCCAGCAAGAAAGCGAAGAAATTCCATGTTGGCTATTTGGTAACACGTTTGAATCTCACGCACGATGCTTATATCGTTACTGTATTTCCTTTTCTCAAGTTACCATTCGCTTCTGTGCACATCAATGGAGCACATGCTTCGCGAACAAGAATGAATAGAACCATCGATACATGAATTACATGCGAAGAAGTATAACATTCTGTCAAGCACATATGCTGATAGAAACGGTAACGGTGTTTAACAATGAAATTGAATGCTAATGTACGAATGTGAAATTCATGCCTTGAAAAAATGCACGCCCGATTTTCTCCAAAAGCGAGCTCGATTTACGAGGAGATACCCCATAGCATATCCTCAAATTTTGTCAGTTAGTAGGGCCAATCCCAAAGAGTCTAAGGTTAAAATAGTTCGCGCGTTGGATGTTCTTTGGCCGAGTTATAAAAATCTCAAAAGGATGGCGGTGGATACGCTAGCAAAATCGGCCCTATTTGTAAATTGTAAAAAAACCTCAACTAATTTTATATGGTTAGAAAGGTAATTGAGTCTAGACCCTCCCTGTATGATATTTTTGATCAAGCTGCTAATTTCGCTGATAAATCGATCATGTATATGGTAAGGGGTATATGAGGCGCAGTGTGCAGAAGGACTTAAGGGTGTATTGTATTAAAAAATCCACCAAAGAAACTACTGCTATATATCAGTCGATGCAGTCGAAAACGCTTAACAAAACTGTACAAGATGATACATGACATACATGTAACTTAGAGTACTTATACTAAATATACTTATCG